CAACAAAAAAAAAACCTTATATTAATAAATTTCTTTTAAATAATATAAAAAATATATAATTTTTTTAAACTTAAACAAGCGCTTATTTCTCAATTTAGATTTGACCTGATTGAGTTAGCACTGACCGGAATTAGATGGTAGAGAAATTATTAACGAAAAAACATAATACTGTAAAAACAATTAACTGAATTATAATATAATTCTAATACGTAGAACAATTTAACTAAAAATTAAAATAATAATAATAAATTTATACAACATAAAAAAAAAAAAATTATTAAATTAAAGTTATTTAAAATATACTATAAAAATTTTTCTATTAATTAACAACAAATATAAATTATATATATAATCAAAATAAAAACTTAGATTAATTATTACGTACGTATAATTCACTTATTATATATATAAGGAAGATAATTACGTAATTTCCAAATACGTAAGAATATAATTACGTATTTTATTTTAACGCGACTAATTAATGTTGCAAATATATATGCTGTACATAAGTTACGTGAATTATAATAACTTACGTATTGTATCAAAAAAAAAGTTCTTACGATATATGGTAAGTAAGGATAATGGCCAAAAGAAATAAGATGATATATTTGTAATATGCATTACTGTATTTAAAACCATTGTCGACATTGTACGTAAAATGAATACATATAATCAGTATCAATATTAAATAATAAATTTCAGGGGTAGTATAACTTTGGACATCAAGTATATATATAACGTTAAAAGGTTATAAAGTATATAGTATATAGTATGAAACAATCATGTGAATAAAGCTTATACTAAAGCGCGTGCATTAGAAAAGTGATATGTAACAACATTAATTTCTTAAAGAAATCATTTAAAAAATCTATATTAGTAAAGATCATGCTTTTATACATAAGCATGTACGCATATATGCGTATATCAAAATTCCAAGAAAATCATTCAAAATCAAAATAGTGAAGTAGTATGATTATTTAACTATAAAAAATTTAGGCGTAGAATATTTAAACGCGTTAATTTTAAGCTTGATATTTGCATTCGAATGTCATAAATTTCTGTTTTAGTGACATATACGATAATCTTCAGTAGTGTAACGATGAAATTCAATAGTTTTACAAAAAAAAACATTCCCATTGTTCTCAATTACTAATCATTACCAAATGGGTAACTAAAACTTATTGCGCCTGTTAATTTTCAGGTGAAATTTTCAAATGAAAATGAAATGGCGGCTTTATTTAAGAGTTAAAAAAATTTTTTTTGATGTTTCATATGGTACATAAATTAGCCCTAATTTTTTATAAATGCATATATATACACCAATTTTAGAAATGACAATCGACATGGAATTAGAGTATGTCATTCATCTGTTTTTAGATTTATACTCGATAAATCGGCTTACCTTTAAAGTAACCCTTTAAGTACGTGCAGTACATATTTTTTACAAAAATCCAATTTATACTTAAAATGATGTAAATTTATGGTAGAAACTTATCTGCTTAAAGATGTAAAATTGTAAGATTCAAATCTTAAATAGCAATTGATTTTTTTTAACATTTTATTCAGGGGTGAATTTAGAAACATCATACGAAGATTGAAAAGCCTTCAAATGAAATATTTATAGAATATAATGAAAGCATTATGAGACCAAATGTAGTTTATTCAACAATTTAAAGAGAGTAGAAATGCGATCCGGATATCCGTTACATTTTAAAATAGGAAAACGGATAAATGATCGTAACTTTAACTGACAGTATTAAGACTTTTTGTAATGATACTACTGTACTAGTGTTAGTAAATGATGAAGGGGGGGGATTAATCGAAATTTGCAAAGATCAGTTCAATTCTGACTCACCTCGGGTCCGTCATGAGTGACCAAAAGTAGACAAATTTTTGAAGAAGCAATTCAGATCAACGGTTCTTTGTTAAAGAAAGAGTGAGTAATGACGTGTTAATACGTTTTTAGAAAAGATTTACTAAAGTTAGGGACCAAGATTCGTATCATTCGGAAATCACCGAAAAGATTAATCTAAAACTTAACCAAGGTAAGTCAATTGAAGGAAAGTCGGTACAAAGCATCTAATTAAAGAACGATAAAAAGGTAAAACTTTTAGTTATTCTTTTGTTCCCCAAATAAGTCAGGTAAAACGTTTCATTGTAAATATTGTAACGTTGTAAATATTGTAAATATTGTAAATATTGTAAATATTGTAAATGATAAGCTTTAAAAAGTTCCCCGCTTTTCTATTAATTTTATGTTCATGCAAGTACAAAGATCGAAATAAACAAACGGCAATAAGGCAAATTGTGATCATTAATTAGCTATTTTGGAATTTACCTAAAAAAAATAAAGAAAAAATTTTCAATATAAAAAAAATTTAAAGAACAATGAGACATTTCTTTGTTTAATGCTGTAATGAGGAATCAGATCAAATTCGGTTGTTTTTTTCTAATTCTACTTACATACTTGATACATATGTATATATACGTATATATTAATATTTTAACCGCGACGTAATGCAATGCGATGTATGTGAAAAAATCAGTACATAGATAGATAGTACTTTGTTAAAGAAAAATTCAAGAGTGTTAAAAAAGAAAGAACAAAATTTTTTTAAGGGTTTAATGACCAGTAATGACAACTATTACGCCATAATTTCCTTTTGTGTAATGTAATAATGAAATAATGGCACATAACATAACGACAGTACGTACAGCAGTAGTGATGTGATATGTTAATGTTATTTCAGTATTTATTATTATTATTACTGTTACGTAGTACTTTGCTATTACTAATAACACTAAGGGGTGTAACTCACAAGACTTGAAAGAAAAATTTAGTTAATTACTGTATTGCTGTTGTATTGCTGTATTGCCATATTACCGTATTGATGTATTATTGTATTGCTGTATTGATGTATTATTGTACGTATTGCTGTATTGCCGTATTGCTGTATTGAAGACGTTCCAAATATAGAATGTTTTTTCGTATTAAAAAATTGTCATTCTTTTTTTTTTACAAGTTTTATTTTTTTTATTATCGTTATAGTTATCTCTTTTGACTTTATGACTACTGCTAATAAAAAATTTGAAAAATTTATTGGAAATAAACTTACAAAATCACGTGAGAAATAGTAAATGATTAAAAATGAGATCATAAAAAGTTTTAATAACGTAATTGGTTCATAAATATTTAACGGATAATTATTCCCAAACGGATATTGACATTCCTTTTTAGGGCTTCAAGAACCGATAAACTTTAGATTTTGTGCAAAAAAACTTAACCATATTCTTATTGTAATTCCGTGATTTGTTATTTATTATAGTAGAGTAAAACTCGTACGTACGTACGTTCGATAGAGAATTAATTAATTATTACTGTTTTGTTATCGTTATTATTATTATTATTATTATTATTACGTATGTACAATCATTATAATTATTATCGTTATTACCTGTTTATTATATATATATATTTCGTACATACGTACATACATTGAAATAATGGTAGACCTCATGATTTTTTATTATGTAATTTTTTTTGAATAAAGTTAGTAATCAAGGAATAAGTGTTTTGACAGCTACTAATTTCGGCGAACAAGAACTTTATGTAGATTTACGAAAATAATTATTTCATTTTGATAATCTTGTTTTTTTTATTTTTTTTTAAATGATATCGCAGGAAAACAAACCTGTCTTATAAGGAGTTTTCATTCAAACCAAAAATAAAATGTAATTCTTGAAACGAATCTTTTTTTTTTTAAAAAAAAAACAATCATTTATCATAATCCATTCCTTACTAGGTTTACAAATGAATAAATCTCATGATACTTTCCAAATTTTATGATTAACAAGGAAAGTTATTACTTATTAAAGTGTTTTAGTACATATAAAATTTTTATATGTTTATAATTTTTTATGATACGTATGATTGGCGCTGACGCGATTTTTTTTTCTATAAATGAGTAGTAAACAAAAATGGTTAAACTTTAGATCCCAGGACTTATCCGAATATAAAATCCTGATCGGAGAACATCCGGATTCGGAAATATATGTCCGTCTAATATATTGTAAGTTTAGCTCTGTAATTTTGGTTCTTATTCATGAATTATAATATTAGTATTCGAAATAGCATACAATGAGAACGCGGTTCAGTTTCAAAATTTTAGTTTTTTAAAAGTTTTAGAGGTATTCCATGATATTTATATAAATATAATATGTATATATTTATTTTGGTCAATTTTATTATTCTTTTCAGAATAAAAATTTTATTTATACATTTTTTTGAGTATTGAAACTTGTTTTTTTTTTTAATAAAAAAAAAAAACCAAAATCTTAAAAGATAAAAATTTGGTACATAAGAAAAAAAGTGTAAATGATTTGAATGACTTGTACAATAAAAAGAAAAAAAAAAAGTTATTAAAAAGAAAAAAAAAAATATATGTATAAACATAAAAGAAAATAAAAGTAAATAATAAATATGATGCATCGTAGGGGTGTTTTTTTTTTTTTTTTGGAAAATAAATTTGATCAAATTCCAAAGGCATGTGTTCCAAAGAGTTGGTACACTATATATAAACGATTCAGAATGATGTTTATATATGCTTAAGGATATTCAACTATGGCTTAGAGAAATATTATAATCGTGCTTGTTCTTTTTTGTCTTGGTCTTCAGTATAATGTTAGTGTTAGTGTTTGAGTGTTATTTTTTTCGATTTCTTTTCGTAAACATATTTTGGATTCAATGCTAGTACTTCGGTTACGTGCATTATTTCAGAATCCGCAATAGCATACATATAGCATAGATCGTATTTCGATCTTTTTAACGGTGTTTGTTTGTGATTTCCAAAATTTTTTTTTTAGATTTTTTTGATTTTTTTTTTTTAGTCTTTAATTCATCCGATTAATAATTTATCCGATCAAGTAAGACTGTTCATCGAAACTTTGGTGATTTTGCGGTTTTTAGATTTTTCCAAATTAATTGAATTTTTTTTTTTTTTTTACCAATCTTGAATAATTTCTGTGTTTTCAAAACAATCGAGGCTAAGACCATCTTCTAGACACTCGTCGAGCCATTCATCCAATACGTCATAAGCTTCTTTACCCAATTTTAAAAATTTTATATTCCAATAAAATTTTTCAAAATTTTCTTCGGTTATATCATCTAACCAAGCATCATCATCATGATGATATAACCAATGTAATATAGTACCAAAGCATTCAGGATAAGGTATTGGTACATATAATGTACTGGGTAATTGTGAAGAAGAAGAATGAAGATTTATCGGACCAAATAATTGATTAAAAAATCCACTTTGTGTAGCCAATACCAAAACATGTATATGAAAGTAATAATCAGGTGGTGAATCAGGAGGTGGAGATAATTTTTGAGTGGATGACATATTTGTAGATGAATTATTAATTGAATGATGTGAATCATTAATTGAATGATGTGAATCTGCTATTGGAGACGAAGGTGGAGATGGAATTCCACTATTATTAATTTGATCATCATAACGTTGTTGAAAATTATTCATCATTTGTTGATAATTATTTAATGCTGCATTAAAATAAAGTGTTAAAGCAGCAGCATCAGCAGCTGAACAAAATTTGTCACTACAAACGACAGGTAAGGTTGATTGACAATCCGGTAAATGTTGTTCTTGCCATTCAAAATTTTCTGAAGTTTGACATTCATATTGTTGTGAAATATTTTGATTAGTTATCCAATTATTTCTAACTATACAATTTAAACTGTTTAAATTTCTATTTAATATATTGTTACTTTGACAAATTTGATTAAAGTAATTACAAAAATAATCAACCTCTTGAGGTTTAATTATCTTTAAAGAATAATCAGCGGTTTGAGGGTTATTCCAGTGAGCTGGTCCGATTTCATCAAGGTTGTTAAGAAAGTATCCTACAGGTATCAATCTATTTGAAAAACGATCATGATAAACCGACGGAGTATGGTCTGTAGGCTTATACATAGGCAATACAACTCGTTTTCTTCTAGCTCGCAAGCCCATTATTTTTGTATATAAATGTTTTGAATAATGTTTGTACAAAAAAAAAAGCTGTGATGGAAATTTTTTATATAATAAAAAAAAAAAAATAGATTCTCTGAATCTTTTAAAAAAAATCTATAGTGTATTAATATATATATATATTGCGTTATTTGACAGTGAATATTTAACAGATGTCGTTATTTGGTTTAAAAATGTAAAGTGTATTTTATAATTTTATAATCGTTGAGTGATAAATATACTTGATATATGAATCAATCAAATCAAGGTTTTTTTTTGGATTTTTTTTTTTTTTTGATTATTATATTTTTTTTTCACTTTGCGTCGTTAGTTTAGTCGTCATGTATGTTAAGATTTTTAATTTTGTTTTTCTTTCAAACTAGTATTAAAAATCTTAACGATATATGATGAAAGCGTAGTGTATCTAAGTTAGATACTAACGGACGGACTTTAAGGGAGACGTTAAATTGAAAAAACTGTCGAAAAACAAATCGAAAAAAATTTGTGAAATTTTTTCTGTGCTATATATATCTATTTGATCAAATAAAATTTTTTTTTTTTCGACTAGTTTGTTTAGAAGTTACAGCTTTGTTTTAAAATAAAGAGTATAAAAAAAAAAATATGTAACGGTAACCTAAACAAGGTAATCTCATCAGCCATTATATATAAGCCTTTTTTTTTTTTTTTGATAGATCAAAAAGGAAACTGATTGTTACCCTAATTAAGCAACAATGTTATTAATACTTATTTTTTTTTTAGACATGTTATCTTTTTTGTAGATTACACATTGATCGAACTTTGTACATTAAGTATTAATCTTATAAATTTACACTATTACACTATTACATATTCATTTATTCGTTAATACCAAAATTGTTTATTAACTAAGAAAAAAAATGAATATAAATATGTATTAATTAACAAAAAGGAAGAACAAGAGACATCGGGTTACCTCCTGAAAATTTTGTTATGCTCACTAATAAAATTCCTGTCCGTTTATTTGTCGGTACTGTATCTTTTGTTGTTAAGTATCTTTTGTTGATTGATTTCCAAAATTTTCTTTAAAAATTTCTTTCAAAACTTCTTTAAAAACTGCGCTTAATAAAAAAAACCTTTTCCGTATAGTATGTCGTAGAACATGTGTTGTAGAGTATGTAGAGTATGTGTTGTAGAGTATGTATGTAGAGTACGTAAGTGTTGTAGAGTACGCAAGTATAGAGTATGTAAGTATAAAGTATGTAAGGTATAATTTAAACATGGCTCAACCCGAATGATCTACAAAGCAATATTACGCATAACAATTTTGTTGTAACAAGAATAAATCAAGATTTTTTTTTTGTTTTTATTTTGTTATCCATGAAAGTTCAAAATTAAATCTACATATAAAAGTACTAAAAAAACTTAAAATGTCTAATAACGGAAAGATATCATTCGTTTACTTTATTATTTTTATCCGTGGATTTTTTCATATGTTCATCGTGTGTATGTATGTATGTACTGTACGTACATAACCGATTACAGATAATACGTATCACGTCAAACCTATAAGATCATTGATCAGCCACATAGTAACGAGCCGAGTAATTGATATTTCCGAAATGCCCATACAAAAAAAAAAAAATACCTAACATATAACGATAATAAATCAAATAATTAATCTAACCCTTACATATATAATACATTTAGCATAATATTCACAATGTTAGATGATTGTTAATGGTAACTCATTTATCTGGTCAGCAGATCAATGCAATGAAAAAAAAATCAAGTTTCATCGTTAACAAATCTCTGATTAACCTTTAAAATGACCTAATCAGGCGTAAAGAATAAAAAAATTTAATCCCATATGGTATCTCATCTCCTTGTAGACTTGCAGGAATCATTAACCAATTCCCGCAATCATCCAATTGTGACTCTGAAACACGGTGCCAACGTTATATAAAATCGTATAAATGAAATAGTTTTAAAAATAGTGATACAATTTTTTTTTTTTTTTTTTTATTATTGTTAGTTTAATTTTATTTTACCTTTTATTTTATATTTTTTACTTTTTTTTCATTTTTTTTTTATTTTTGATAGATTACCAAGAAAAGAAAGTAACCTAAGGGACTTTCGTGACACGTACGTACGTAAATCTTTTAGAATTTAGAAAAAAACAAAATTCTCAACCTTATTTCTTAATATACCTATATTCATTAATGATACAACAAAATCTATAAATTCTAATCGTGCAAAAGAATATAATAAACAGTAAGACAGGGATAAATAAATATGCATACCATCCGCTAAGTTAAAATGATATCACTATAAATTCCGCAAATAAATATTTTACATCTGTGCGTATCTTTTTTATCAAAGATAATAAAATAATAAATAGACTGATACATACGTAAGTACTCACGTAAGTACCGTGATAGTTATGAATGAAATGACAACTTAAACAATTTTCTTTTTTTAGGTTTATTATTAAAAATTACCATTCTGGATTAAGTACGCGTTTAACTATTGCATCAATCATTTACATATAAACATGGTCACCGAATATTAAAAATAATGACGCTAATAATTATGTTAAATAATATGTATACTAATACAGTATATACACATTTAGCATATACTGTATGCTCTTATGTTTTTTTTTTTCACGCTCGTCGCTTCCATCGCTTCTCGCTTCTGTCGATTCATTGCTTCCGTAGAATTCTATGTAGATCCTTCAATGATCTTCAAATTATATACGTATTAATTTTTTCGTGCTCACATGCGGTTTTGATTTACATAATACGAGTTTAACTAGATACTAGACTCTTTTGAATCATACATTAATGGCAAATAAGTACATAAGTATGTGTACAGCACATACTACGATACATACTACGATACGTACTGCGATACATATTATAATACATACTATATACAATACATATTACAATATATCCTACAGTATTTATTACCACACCCTACAATATTTACATACATAAACGCGTATTTTAAAATACTCCAATAAACGACGAATACTCATGATATCATCATCGGCTTAATCTCTTTAAAAAAAAAAAAACTATGATCCGTAAATTTTTGATCAATTTTAAAACAATCTTAAATTAGACTCATTAAATTTACGCAAAAAATAACATAATATATACTGTATTCATTAAAATTTGTTTATGATCTAACAATAATCTTGTGATTTTATATATATATTTATTTACGCCTTTGACTTGTGTTCTCGTTTTAATGAAATATATCTATACAAGAATTTTTGTATTTTTTGTATTTTTGTGCTCCATTATTAAGGAACAACAAATTTATTAATAAAGTAAACATTATCAAAATTTACAAAATCAGATGATTAAACGTATCATTAAAAATCAATTTAGCAAGAAGAAATACATAATATCATCTTGTTTTGTTCACAACTGTCCTGCTGACCTTCCTTTATAAAAAAAAAATATATATTTCATTTCTCGTTAGAAAATTCCAAGATCAAGTAATTATTTACTACTTATTACTTGTTACCTGCTACTAAACTTTATGATTTCAAAATTTTTCCGTAATGTACGTTATTACAAATAATAACTCATTTTTCCATACCCATACATAATTCTGTATATATGTTACATATGTATTTATTGTACAGTACGTACGTACATATCTTAAGTATATCATAACTTAAATACATACCTGGTACGTACGTATGTCAATCATCAAAATTTTGTCAGTGCTTAATCTACGTACATACGGCGAAAAAAAAAATCTCACTTTCCAAATTTGTAGATGTAAAGATTTCTTTTATGGATAAAAAAAAAAGATCTAAATTTTAAAATGTTATCGCCGTACCATAAAACCTGTTATTTACAAAATCCGTTTTTTTAAACATTATTAACGTTAAACGATGATTTAAAAAAAAAATTCGAACTTGTTATTTACCCTTATACATGCTGTATACCTGTATATCAATTTATTCGGTATAGATTTATTTTGTACCACTGATTCAGTAATATTTACAATTTTTCTTTCTTTTTTTTTTTTTTTTGGTAGTACGAAATCTAATTCTAAAGTTACAAAAATTTTATGATTTACCAAAGGTTTTCTTAAAGAAAAAAAAGTTTAATTCAAACGTGGTGAATTACTTTAATTTGTTATGATAATCAAAATTTACCATATTTTTATTAGAACCTGATTTTAATCATTTTTTAAATCATTTTTTAACATAGTAAACAAGGATTTAGGTCACTTTCGGTTCTAAAGTTAAATTATTTGTGTAAACATTTACGCAGTTACTCAGAGTTATCTTTTTTCGGTGTAAACGACTGGATTAATCATTAATAACCGACGTAATACGTACTTACATGCATACCTTAAAAAATATTATGTGTTAACTCCACGATCGGCTAATAAATCTTAAATAACACAACAAATAATTTTCGGGGTATATTTATTAACTTTTGTTAAGCTCCGGATAATCCGAACTTCTATTCCGATTGGTAAAAATATGCATCTTAATAAATATAAACAAAAAATTTTCTTATATGTTTTTATTTATATTTATCGTTATAATTTGTAAAATAATTTAATATATAATTTGTAAAAATAATTTGTAAAAATAATTTGTAAAAATAATTAAAATATTTTGTAAAATATTTTGTAAAATTTGTAAAATAATTTGCAAAATAATTTGTAAAATAATTTGTAAAATAATTTGTAAAATAATTTGTAAAATAATTACGGGCATATTGATCCCATTAAGTCTTGTATGCCTTGATCTAATTGTCCTAATTTGACACTTTATTGTATAGTTTACATGTTTATTCTGTACAAAATAATTTAAGTACATACTAATTTATAATTCATAATAGAAGAATAAATAGAAAGTTATGCCTAAAGAAAGATGTTTACTCAATTATAATACGTATTTTCATGGGTTTACGTATAGTATCTATCTATTGATATTAATGTACAAAATATACCCCTGGTATGTAATGACCATTAAATTAATTTAGTAA